TAGTCCTTGGCTAGCTTCTAGATGTACTCGCCGTATGTTTCAGCGTTTTTTCCAGATTTTTTGTACGTCAGGCATAGGCCGGTCGAAATCCGCCCTGCCCCCACCTGTTGCTGCACGATGCTGCTAAGGTGGCTGAAAAGTCCTTGTTTTTCTGATAAAACCATGAAATATTAATATTGGCGTTTATCCGTATACTGGCCCAAACCTGATCAGTTTAATGTTGAAGGAAGACAAAGATAAGATGTACAGCTTGTTGCCTTGATATTGTTTGTTTTTTAATTCTAAGAGGATTTTCAATCAGTGCATTAAGCTATTTAGTCGTGTTTGGTCTATTGTGTGAGCTTGATTGTAGCGTGATGGGTGTGTGAAGGGCTGGACGGTTCATAGTCTGGGATTAGCAGCCCCGTTCTGCCCAGTCCCAAACCAATAAGCTAAGCTGCTGGTTTTAAGTGCACTTCTGTTTGAAGGAAGAAACGTCGTCATCAGCACTTCTGTGAAAATCTACCAGATCCATGAAATGCAAAGCCAAAAAAAAAGAAAAGGAAGAGCAGCGTGTTTGTTTTTCCATCTGAACACCTTGGTGCTCGTCAGCCAATCAGAGCTTGACTAGGATAAAGGTGGAATACCTGGCTTACCTGAAGAACTAGCACACACCTGCTGCTAGCTGTCCTCCCATTGGTGCTTCTGGATGAACAGCGGTTCATGTAGCAGCATCCATCCCAGCATTAGCAGCTCCTCTCTGGCTGTGATGCAGACGACCTGGAGCCGCCCTTCATCCACACCTGACCGTCATCATCCTCGTTATCACGCCTGTGTCTCTGTCGGTTTTATACATTAACAGATGGATTCACACACAGATACACACATTTTGTTTTTTAAATATCAAATATGCTATTTTCCTATTTGCAAAAATAAAAATTGCATTTAAAATTAACCAACGTGTAACTTTTATGCATCTTTCCCGACATTAAAAACAATTTCACATTTAAAATCAATCAGAAATAGTTAAAACATAAAGCACTGAAATTTTATTGACAAGGTTTGATAAATTCATTAAATAAGATTATATTGACAAATGACATCATTGGACAGTTTTTTAATTGACATTAATGATAAAACTGAAAAATGTTCTTTAATTACAGGAATTGATTATTCATCTTAAATGGAAATTATTTATTTATTTATTATACTCCTTGATGTAACTTTCCTTCCAGCTGATTCTATATATTCTGAAGTATGAACAAATATCAATATCTGGGTCAAAGGAAATCATGAATTAGACACCAGCGACCTGAAGAAGGATGGAGATCCTGGATCCAGATCCTGCAGTGAATGTCCAGGAGAGGCTGCTTCATCCAGGAGGTCAACAAACCATCCAGGAGGTCAA